CAGGGCCTTTCTCATTAAGATGACCATTAATTTAGTAACACAAGATCATTAAACTTTTTAACATTCAGACATTTATATCAGTAGCATTTTATATTATAAAACTTAAAATTTAGCACCACTTCACATCTTGACAGTACTTCTAATATAATCCAAATAGCCTGATTAGTTGTGTCTCTCTATGATGAGACATATGTCTTTGAAATTTCCAGGAGCACATCTGGAATTGTCAAAGTGTAAATTTTTGGAATTTTGATTTTTTGAATGACTGTCAAGGATGTCAAGAAAGCTCAAAATCTAAAATATCTGGTTGAAATAAAATTCTTTAACATCATGACATTATATAGACCAAATCTGATCCTTGTTACAAGGTGACTATTCAAATGCTTGGAAAAAAAAAAAAAAAAGCACATATTTAAATAACCCACAGCTCTAAATAAAAACTCAGCTATTTTTAAATAATTAGGATTTAACAGAGACATCAAGGGAACATAATAGATAGCTTTAACTCACTGCTTTAAGAATCATATCCTGGCTGGCACCGCGGCTCACTAGGCTAATCCTCCGCCTAGCGGCGCCGGCACACCGGGTTCTAGTCCCGGTCGGGGCGCCGGATTCTGTCCCGGTTGCCCCTCTTCCAGGCCAGCTCTCTGCTGTGGCCAGGGAGTGCAGTGGAGGATGGCCCAAGTGCCTGGGCCCTGCACCCCATGGGAGACCAGGTTAAGCACCTGGCTCCTGCCATCGGATCAGCGTGGTGCGCTGGCCGCAGCGCGCCAACCGTGGCGGCCATTGGAGGCAAAAGGAAAACCTTTCTCTCTGTCTCTCTCACTGTCCACTCTGCCTGTCCAAAAATTAAATAAATAAAAAAAATAACTTATAAAGTGTTACTCAGGTTCTATGTCAATTTCTCCAGGTTTATTTTAACTCGTCAACTAATTTTCTACTGCCAAATTTTATGTGCCTGGAGAGCAGGCACTGGGTCTGCTTCTACACCAAAAGACAGTGTATGACATTAGAAAAATAGATCATTAATTAATGTTCAAAAATACACAAGGGTCAATGAACTCATGGGATAGTAGGACTGATGGATAGCTGGACTAGTGGGTGGATGGAAGGATAGTTGTGTGGATGAATGGGTGGTTGTATGTGAGTAGATGAATGGGTGGATAGGTAGGTGACTGGTTGTGGATGGATGGGTAGTTGTTATGTTTGGATGAGTTGGTATGTTCATGAGTGTATGAATGGGTGGATAGGTAGGTGACTGGATTCTTGGATGACTTGATCAGATGGACTGAGAAGAAGCCAAGAAGTCTAGGAGGCTTAGGATTTCATGGAGATGCTTGACAGGATTCTGTGAGAATTTTTCCTCAAGTGGCTAAATGCAGATTTTCTAATCATCACTTAATATATGCAGAGCATATGTATAGAGGGTATTATCATGATCTAAAAGGACTTGAGTAGAAATGGAAGCTTCTAGTACATGTCATAATATGACTGTATTGTAACTTCAAATGATGATCAGAGGGCCCTGGAACAACCTGTCATAAAATAGGCACATCAGATGGCTTCTGGATCTTTAAAGTGGCTTGCTGTAAAGGCACTCTCCAATTGTCAGTCATATACAAAAGTCATACCATGGAATTATATTGAAATACCCTAGAGACCCCAACAATTATCAAGCTGAATAATCTCACATTAACATAGTACTTAAAGAGTTGGAAATGTCTTTCTATATGTATTTACTCATTTAATTTTCCCACCTTTTTGTGAGGCATGCACTAATCTCATTTTACAATGAAAATCGAGCATCAGATAGGTTGAGAGATATGCTTTAATAATGGATAAAACTGTTTACATGAATGAAGTCAAGGGCCATTTGTGTCTTTTCATCCTATATTGAGTGCCTTTTCTCTTTCCTGATACCTGTGGGTAGAGGAAATGTATAGTACAAAGTGCACACTGCAAAATCAATCCATGCAGGACTGATAAGTCAATGGGCAACACTGGGAACTTAAGTTTTTTGTCATACATTGTCTCATGTACAACACATCCCTATTTTTTTTCCAGAGAACACACAGGAATGGAGAACAAAGTGTTCCATCCCAACCTCATTATTCTTTTGGCAAACCCAATAAAATTCTCTCCTCCTACAGAATCTGACAGGCACACAGATGAATGCACCAGTTCCTAAAGAAATTCTTTCTTTACTGTTCTCACATACTGAGTGTCCAGGCTTGCAAAATACCAGAGTGGAATGTACCCTGGCCCTTGCCTATGCTGCTGCTGGCTCCTGACTTCAGAGCAGCACAGCACCGGCTGTTGTGACCATCTGGGGAGTGAACAAATGGTTCTCTGTCTCTCTCTCTAACTCTGCTTCTCAAATAAATAAAATCTATAAATTAAAAAAAAAAAGAAAGAAACCTGACAGAGTACTACAACCAAACCCACAGTCAGTCACAGGCAGGCATGGTCAATCAAAACTTAGACACAGAAAGCTAGAATTAATCAAACCCATACACACATAGCCACTCGAACCTGAGACAGACAAGTCAGAACAAATCTAAAGGAGAGAAAACAGCTCTGAGAGGCAGTAACACAGACGCAGCCATGGGCAATAAAACCTGAAACAGAGAGAAGGTAGAATCAGTTGAACCCACAGACTAACAGACGGAGGTAAGGCCAATGAAACCTCAGACAGACATACAGAAGTCAGAAAGTGGCACAGAGGCAGCCATGAGCAATCAAACTTGAGACAGTTACAGAGAGAGGTAGAGACAGAGAGAGAGGTCTTCCATCCGCTGGTTCACTCCCTAGATGGCCACAACATCCACAGCTGAGCAGATCTGAAGCCAGGAGCCAGGAGATTCCTCCGGGTCTCCCATGCGGGTGCAGGGGCCCAAGCACTTGGGCCATCTTCTACTGCTCTCCCAGGCCACAGCAGAGAGCTGGATCAGAAGAAGAGCAGCTGGGACTAGAACCAGCACCCATATGGGATGCCGGCACTGCAGCGGCGGCTTTACCCACTATGCCACAGCACTGGCACCATAAATTTATATTTTTCATTTCATTTCTTATTAATGTTGTGAAGTACACTGCCATTCTGCTGGGTATTTCAATTCAGAATAGTGTTACAATCCCAAGAGAGGCTCTCAGGGAAGTTTCCTGCTCACCCATCCATTCATTAAGCTGCTCAAGCTGCAACCATAGCAAGTTCCTGGGGACACTACAGGACCTTGTGCACTTGCTGCAACCACCTGGGAGACACACAAACCACATGGCTGAATCATATTTGTTTGCCAATCAATGGCAGAAAACTTTAAACAGTAAAATAACATGAGAGAAAACTGTTTATAAAGTTTTTCTCAGAGAAAATGCCTATGACAACTTGTAACCATGCATCTTCCAAATATTCCAAATGAGAACCGGTATGTTCTGAAGACTGTTTGAACTGTGAACACGTGATCTTTTTTGTATATCATGGGAGAAAACTTCCTGCAGCAAACGGATAAATGGTACACAGATGATAGAAAAATATCCATGAATGAAAGATATTTGCACTACTATGAGTATGACAGCTCAATTTATGATACCTCACATATAGAATCAATCAACTTATCCATCAACTCATGCTGAATTTTAAAATTCTGTTAAATATACACTATGGAATACTACTCATGCATAAAAAGGAATGAAAGCCTGTCTTTTTAACAAAATGGATGTGACTTGAGATCATGTTGCGTAATGAAATAAGGCAGTTCCTAAAAGACAAATATGTTTTCTCTGATATACAGTACTCAGTGCAAAAACAATGCATAAAAATGAAACTTACATGTTTTTCATTGCTTTTTGAAGCAATAAGGAAATGTCCATCTCAAGCTCACCTTTTAGCTTTGGGTGGTTTGGGAATGGAATACAGGTGAATTCTATAGCAGTATATTATCATTTCAAATCCTTTCTTCTCAGCACCTGCAATCCTCAACTATTTTCTCCTCTCTCCTTGTCTCCTTTACTTCTGCATGTTTCCAACCATGGAGTCCCTCACCTTATTAACAATTCTGTCATCACACCCTGCCTTCTGGGGTTGGGCAGTTCCCTTGCCCTCTGGGAAAAGTGATGCCTTACTGCATTCTGAGATAATAAAGCTCCATTGTGTTCTTGGAAAATGAGGTTCCAATCTTCTTGTGAAGACAGATGTCCCATTACATTGAAAATGACAGGAAGTTTTGTGTACACAGGAAGAATACCATACTCCAAGTTCAGGAAAAGATTTACAATTTTTTGGTTTAAAAAATTTACTAAGAAGTTAGTTTTCCACTTAAATACTGAATTCATCTGTTTATGAAGCTTAAAACTGGATTACAATGGATGACTGTTATAAATAAAATTTCACCTTTTAGCATACTTTTCATAGAGTAAAAAATACTCGATGTACCTTACCATCTTGACAATTTTTCCATGCATGCTAAAGAAAATGGCATCAATTACTATGCTACTTCTTCCAGTTTCAATATACTATTTCTGGAGCCACAAGTCTTATAAATTCAAAACTGTAACATACATCCTTATTTTGAAAACTGCATTTTACAAATGGACTTACAAGGATGAAAACAAATAGTTACAAAAATATAAAAGGTAACAAACTCAGTATAAAAATACTTAAGCTGACACCATTCCAAAGTATATTTTGATCATTCTTAAATGTTATAGAGACCATAATATATTTCTGAAAGATACAGAACAAGTCCATAGACTATAGAAATTAGTTAAATACTATTCCAGACAAATCTATGACTTTCAATTTTGATTTTCAATTCTGATTAAACATCAATTTCTTGCAACTGTGACTGTCAATGGTAGAAAAGGCATTTCTTTCTCTTTTTTAAAAATGTTTTATTTCTAAGTCTCATTATATAAAAAATAAAGAATTAATATGTCACCTAAGATGGTTCAACATCAATTTTTAAAGAAATATAGTATAGTAAATACATTAAAAAAAAACGGAATTAAGACAATTTGTTTTAATAAACAATACTCATGGTAAATAAAGTTCTATTCTTCTTAAGTTGATGGTCAAAATTCCCAGTTAATGTCTTCAGAAAATGAAAACTGAATTCAATTTAGATCTGTAAGTGAAAAGAAAGAGACCCATGAAGAAATAATTATTGTAACATAGGAATCTCTTCAGGATTACATGTCAAATTCCTTTTAAATGAAATAGATTATACATTAGATTTTCTCAATTCCTATCTACTGTTAGTAAAATCTTTCTGTTTCAGATGTTCTACTATGGGAAATATCCTTAAAAGTTCAGTATACCCTTCTGTCCTTTAACAATTAGATGAGGCACAGTCCTACCCAAATCTGTTCTCTGAGTGATTAGTCACAGGAGCAAAATTATATAACCTATAAACCTCCCAGAAAAATGATTCAGAAGTTGTTAGGATTTTAGGTAATGAAGGAAAAGTAAAATCTTATAAAAATGCACAAATCTACCCTGAATCCATGATAGTTACACTTTTGATGCTTGACAAAGAAATTAACTGTTAATACTTTCTACCCTTGGGAATCCATCGTATCTAGGATCTGCAAAGGAAGTTCTGTATGTTTTAAGATAGATTAAGATATATAGTATAAACTATATATTAAACTTATATAAAACCAGCAGATTACTTTGTGTTTAAAATTTTTTAATGCACATACACAAAGATACTAGCCTTCATAATTTTTGGAAACTCTGGTTATTATATTGCATGAACTTGGTCAAAAACAACTGCAAAAAATCATTTTGTGTTTTTCTATGTGTGCATTGTTTGTGTGTGCAACTATGCAGATTTTTTTTCTGAACTATTTTTGTTGCACTGTGGTAAGAAAAAATCTAGATTGAAATGTAAGCTATATAGTTATTTTAATAGATAAACAGAAAATCAGGATGTTTCATTTAAATTGAGTTAACAACAGAACAGTAGCAAGGCATTCAGTTCTGTGTCCTCATCACTTTTTTAAGTTTGCACAAAATAAACATGCAACAAGACCAAACCAAGGATCTGGGCAATAACAATGCCTCACAAAGAAATTAGTATTTTCCTATTACATGCTCCATAATATCTGTCTCCACAATCAGGCTTTAAGAGTTTGCAGTAGGGCCAGCACACTGTGGAATAGTGGGCTAAGCTTCTGCCTTGAAGAGCAGTATCCATGCTGCTCCGTATCTGATCCAGCTACCTGCTAATGGCCTGTGAAATCCAGCTAAAGATGGCCCAAGCAGAAGGCCCTGCCACCCATATGGGAGATCCAAATGAAGCTACCTAGACCAGCACTGGCTGCTGCAGCTATCTGCAAATGGAAGATCCTGTCTCTCTCTGTCTCTCTTCACATCTCTTTCAAAATAAGTAAATTAGCCCCTGCACCACATGGAAAAAGCTCCTGGCTCCTGGCTTCAGCTCAGCACAGATGCAGCCATTGCAGACATTTGGGGAGTGAACCAGAAGATGGAAGACCTCTGTCTCTCTCTCTCATACCTCTCTGTAACTCTGCATCTCAAATAAACCTTTAAAAAAAGCAGCAATTTCAGTATATCACTAAGTTAGTTCAAACAAAAATCTTCTACTATTTTATTTAACAGAAATATCTATCTAGATACTCTGCTTATACAAACTGTAACCATGCAATATCCACTGGGAAAGTTAATAATTACTTTTCAGAAAGTGCTTGTCCAAGTATAAACACCTAGATTGGCTAGATTGTTTCTAATAATATATTCAAATTCACAGCATTTCCATTATGCATTAAGCACTAAACATTATTAGCAAACACACCCCCTCAACTTTAGGGTCATGTACTTACATCATCAATGTCTTCATCATCATCTCCAATATCATCAAACTGGATTTCATCATCATCTCCAGGACCAAATGTATCGGTTTCATTGATTTTAGCTAAATAAATAATAAATGCATAAAAAACATTCATTACACAATTAAAATGTTATTAAAATGAGTAACCGCAAGAGTCTTATTATAGGCCAACCTTCCATTCAACCAAAGTTCTGCTATTAGGAGCAAAATATATTGCTTTAGAGCCGGCGCCGTGGCTCAATAGGCTAATCCTCCACCTTGCGGCGCCGGCACACCGGGTTCTAGTCCCGGTCGGGGCGCCGGATTCTGTCCTGGTTGCCCCTCTTCCAGGCCAGCTCTCTGCTATGGCCAGGGAGTGCAGTGGAGGATGGCCCAGGTGCTTGGGCCCTGCACCCCATGGGAGACCAGGAAAAGCACCTGGCTCCTGGCTCCTGCCAGGATCAGCGCGGTGCGCCGGCTGCAGCGGCGGCCATTGGAGGGTGAACCAGTGGCAAAGGAAGACCTTTCTCTCTCTGTCTCTCTCTCTCACTGTCCACTCTGCCTGTCAAAAAAAAAAATATATATTGCTTTATGAAGCTATATAAAGCAATCTAACAACAAAATCCCCCAGAAATTCATCTATTCCTAAGTCATTACAACAGAGAATATATGTGCTGCACTTTTGTTCAGTGCAACATAATTTTAATAACATTTTAAAAATTTAACAATTTTAAAAACATCAAATGAGTATGACTAAACAACATGTAGTCACATGAAGTATAAAACATCATGAGATTAAAACAACTAGTTCTACAACTACTGGAGAAACTTAGCAAACCAGAGCAAGATTTAGTCAAATCATGTTTATCATTTAAGAAATAACAGTGACGCATAGCTGGTGCTGTGGCATACTGGGCTAAGCATCTGCCTGCAGCGACACCATCCCATATGGGCACCAGTTCGAGTCCTGGCTACTCCATTTCTGATCTAGCTCTCTGCTCTGGCCTGGGAAAGCAGTTGGAGATGGCTCAAGTCCTTGGGCCCCTGCACCCACATGGGAGACCCAGAGGAAGCTCCTGGCTCCTGGCTTCAGATCAGAACAGCTCTGGCCATTGCGGCCAATTGGAGAGTGAATCAGTGGGTGGAGGACCTCTCTCTCTCTGTCTCATCTCTATGTCTCTCTGTAATTTTGTCTTTCAAATAAATAAATAAATCTTTTTAAAATAAATACATAATAAAAGAGAAAAGGAGGTGCTAGACTAATTCACAGACATCGGCACTTCCTCAAATGCAAAGAATTTCAATTGATTTTCAGATCTTTCTCTGTGTCTCTCCCTCTCACTGTCTGCAACTCTACCTCTCAGATAAATAAATAAAATCTTTTTAAGAAAATGAAAACTATGAGTCGGCTGAGAAATGTTAAATGGAAAAATGCTAATAATGTGTTACTTTGACAGACGTTTATACAAATCCAGGTTTCAAAGTTTTGCAAACTTACAAACTCACCAGAAAGTGTATATATTTAATGTCACAGACAACTCCATGAAAATTCCTTCAACTAAACACAAAGAATGAAAATATCTATGACATAGCCGGCACCGCGGCTCAGTAGACTAATCCTCCGCCTTGCGGCGCCGGCACACCGGGTTCTAGTCCCGGTCGGGGCGCTGGATTCTGTCCCGGTTGCCCCTCTTCCAGGCCAGCCCTCTGCTGTGGCCCGGGAGTGCAGTGGAGGATGGCCCAAGTGCTTGGGCCCTGCACCCCATGGGAGACCAGGAGAAGCACCTGGATCCTGGCTCCTGCCATCGGATCAGCGCGGTGCGCCGGCCGCAGCAGCCATTGGAGGGTGAACCAACGGCAAAGGAAGACCTTTCTCTCTGTCTCTCTCTCACTGTCCACTCTGCCTGCCAAAATAAATAAATAAATAAATAAATAAATAAATAAATAAATAAATAAAAGAAAAATAAAAAAAGAAAAAAAAGAAAATATCTATGACAGAGTAGATTAATAATAATAGACATTACCATGTTCAGGAAGCTCGCCATATGCCTTCAGACTTCTAGCTTCATCTGCGTTGTATTTTAAAATTACGTCTGCTTTGTTATCCTTAGAAATAAACAAACTTGTAAAACTCATAACACTGCACTGCTTTTCTTCCTTTACCCACCCGTACTCTAGTAAAAAAATTCTAAAACAAATAGAAAAAAAATATATAATTTTAAATAATTAAAAATATAGGACATCTGAGCCGGCGCCGTGGCTCAATAGGCTAATCCTCCGCCTTGCGGCGCCGGCACACCGGGTTCTAGTCCCGGTCGGGGCGCCGGATTCTGTCCCGGTTGCCCCTCTTCCAGGCCAGCTCTCTGCTATGGCCAGGGAGTGCAGTGGAGGATGGCCCAGGTGCTTGGGCCCTGCACCCCATGGGAGACCAGGAAAAGCACCTGGATCCTGGCTCCTGCCATCGGATCAGCACGGTGCGCCGGCTGCAGCGGCGGCCATTGGAGGGTGAACCAACGGCAAAGGAAGACCTTTCTCGCTGTCTCTCTCTCTCACTGTCCACTCTGCCTGTCAAAAAAAAAAAAGAAATATATAGGACATCTGTAATTTCATCTGAATAAAGTAGGACAGGGAAACAATCTTCTATTTTTCATAAATCACTAAAAACAAGCAGTAGTAACAAAACATCATAATGACATACAAAATATTCAGTTTCAAAAAACAACAAATTATGACTTAAGAACAGGTTTTTGGAAAACTAAAGAGGCTGGGACAACCCTCAAATCCTATAGGAAAACTAGATTGAGTTTCAGGTTCCTGGCTTTGGCTTATTCCAGCTTTGACTGCTCTGTGCATTCTGCGAAGTTTTTTCTTTTTTTTAAAGATTTATTTTATTTATTTGAAAGACAGATATACAGAGAAAGAGGAGGAGACAGAGACGTCTTCCAACGTTGGTTCACTGTCCAGTTGGCTGCAACAGCCAGAGCTGCACCTGGCTCCTGGATCGTGGAGCTCTGGCTGTTGCAGCCAACTGGACAGTGAACCAACGGATGGAAGATGTCTCTTTCTCTGCTTCTCTCTGTAAATCTTTCAAATAAAGGCCTTTCTTTCTCACTCACTGCTTCTGTCTCAGGCTCTCTGTAACTCTGCCTTTCAAATAAATAAATAAATATTTAAAATAAATACATATATAAATAGAAACTGTATTGACCAGTCTTCTTACAAAAATAAAAACAAATACACGATTAATAAATTGTAGTAAAAACACTATAGTGTTAAACAAAATGCAAACAGCAGAATGGTTAAAAACACACTGGCCTAGAATTGCCCAACAATGTTAATTCTGTGTTTCCTAACAATTAATGACTTGCTATGGAGGCTGCAACATAAATTTAAACTTAGTTTTTACCTGATACTCTCGGAGACCAATCAAAATAATGTCTGAGGTATTTATCCAAACCTATGAAACAGATTTTACAGCATATTATTTTCATTTGAAGATGATTTTAATGTTAAATGAATCTTTCCACAAAACACATACTACAAAGGGTTTTCCAACAGTTCAGAAAGAAATTAAAAAAGAAAGCCGGCGCCGTGGCTCAATAGGCTAATCCTCCACCTTGCGGCGCCGGCACACCGGGTTCTAGTCCCGGTTGGGGCGCCGGATTCTGTCCCGGTTGCCCCTCTTCCAGGCCAGCTCTCTGCTATGGCCAGGGAGTGCAGTGGAGGATGGCCCAGGTGCTTGGGCCCTGCACCCCATGGGAGACCAGGAAAAGCACCTGGCTCCTGGCTCCTGCCAGGATCAGCGCGGTGCGCCGGCTGCAGCGGCGGCCATTGGAGGGTGAACCAACGGCAAAGGAAGACCTTTCTCTCTCTGTCTCTCTCTCTCACTGTCCACTCTGCCTGTCAAAAAAAAAAAAAAAAAAAAAAAAAAAAAAAAAAAAAGAAATTAAAAAAGAAATTCTGGTACCCAAAATATGAAATCCACACATAGGAAGTCTCTTCAAAAGTGTTCAAGTGAAATGGATACTATCATTAAACAATGTATACATTTCAAAAGGAATCTATAGGACTTCACATTCAAATTTCTCATACCATTTGCAGTTCTATTTAACTAAAATGTAACACATATACTGAATGAATTACCCATCTCTTTTGTCACTTTTAAAACTAAAAAATTGTTTTTTTCACATTAACATTTAGTTGAATGTAGTACTGTAGAAATCATTTATCATTTCTATATTAACTATCCAGTAAACATTTACAGCTACAATATATAATTCTTTATACAAATAGAATCTTTTGAGAAGTTTAATTTGTGTTCTCAAATAAATAACTGTTTCATTTTAAGTCTTTGGCAATTTACAAAATTGAACTGCTTGGCAAACAGTTGTATACCTGAAGTAAAGTAATTCTTTGCAGCAAATTTTATAATAAAAGAAATCTATACACCTACCTTCTTTCTCAATTTTCCTCTAATATGGCATAATCGCTTTACACCATCAAAGCACATTGCTTCTAATCGTCCATTTCCCAGCATTTTGATTACTTGTGCATACTCTGAGGAGAATAAAAGAGTTGCAAAAAATGTTCTTTGTTCTCATAAAAATCTCAGTGATTTTTTTCAAGATTTATTTATTGAAAAGTCAGACTTACAGAGACAGAGAGAAACAGAGCCAGACAGAAATACAGAGAGATTGCCCTTTTGTTGCTTTATTTCCCCAAGGGCCACAAAAAACTCTAGGCTGAGTCATTTTCTACTGCTTCTCTCAACCAACAACATCGGGCCCAATTTCAGTAGAAACAAGCCTAGGAATAAGCAATCTGATACAGTGGGCTGGGTTGCCTATATCACATGCCAAAGTCATCACCGCTCCAGTTCTGATGCAGCTTCCTGTTAATGTACCTGATGACCACACAGGAGAGCTAAATGGTGTTCTTGGCTGCAGGCTTCCACCTACCCAAGCCCTGGCTGTTATAACCACTTGTTGAAAGAAGTGGTGGTGGAAGATGTCCTTCTCCATGTCACCCTCTCTCTTTCTCTCTGTGTTTCAAAGAAATCTTTAAGAACATGAGTGCAACAACAAATGGTAGCTCTTTCTCTTTTTCTCAAAAAAAGCCATTCTTTAAAAAAATCTGAGCCTGATTTAATTATTGCACATTTGTATATATGAATCTATTACCATACTATACCACAAAAATATGGGCAATTAAAACAATAATTTTAAAATAAAGAAAAAATAAAAATATGAATGATAGCACACAGCAATCTTCTAGAAATAATCAATAAACAAATAGAAGGGAAACAGATTACAAAATCCTCACAAGAGTAAAATTTCAGAACTCTATGACACAATATTGATGAATTATAATTATATTTTCATTAATTTGAAAACCTAAATTGTGAAGTTTTCACATGTTAGCTGGTCACTTTTCCTGATTTCTGAGTTAACTGTCCAATGTGCATTTTTTTAAAGATTTTATTTATGGGGCCAGTGCTGTGGTGCAGTGGTTTAACACCCTGGCCTACAATACTAACATCCCATTTGAGCACCGGATTCTGTCCCGGTTGCCCCTCTTCCAGGCCAGCTCTCTGCTGTGGCCCGGGAGTGCAGTGGAGGATGGCCCAGGTCCTTGGGCCCTGCACCCCATGGGAGACCAGGAGAAGCACCTGGCTCCTGTCATCAGATCAACGCGGTGCGCTGGCCGCAGCAGCCATTGGAGGGTGAACCAATGGCAAAGGAGGACCTTTCTCTCTGTCTCTCTCTCTCACTGTCCACTCTGCCTGTCAAAAAATAAAATAAAAAAATAAATAAAATGAAGTAAAAGTAAGAAAAGAGAGAAGTGAGCTGGCTTCAAGACCATGTCCGCCCGGAGTCGCAGAAACAGGACGCACACACAAACCCGGCCTGTGATTGGCCCCCGGGTCTGAGACAGGGGGAAGCCATTGGCTGCCCGACGTGTCACCCAGGCGAGTCCAGCCCAGACGGAGGGCGAGGTCGGCGGCGAGGCTTCCGGGAGTTGTAGTCTCCCCGCTCCGCCCTGTCCAAGCCTACTGTGGCTGGACGGTGTGAAACCAGGACATTTGGCCCACAGATGATAAAAGCAAAATGATAATTTAGGTCAGGAAAATTAGATCAAGGAGCTTTATTTAAAAGAAAAGAGAGAAGAGAGCTGTGTGGAATCGCGGTTCAGCACCACTTCCGCCCCGAGCCGCTGAAACAGGAAGCACACGCCTGCCCAGCGTCTGATTGGTCCCCGCGTCTGAGACGGGGGGAGCCATTGGCTGTGAACTCGTCATTCTGCGCCCAGAACCCCACCCCTGAGGCTCCACTGCCTGCTCTCGACTGGACGGGGAACCTGTTCTGAGAGGAGGAGCGTGGTGGGGGCAAGAGGTGCGGAGTCACCCCACGGACTCCGGGAGGCGGGTGAGAGCAGTCCTGAGGCGGGCAGCCAGCAGACTCGTTTATTTCAGTTGCTACAGCTGCTTCTATGGCCAAGACAGCCCATCCAGTCAAGGGGCGGTCTAGGCCCTGACCAATCACAGCCTGTGGCCAGGCGGTTTCCAAAGCCATCCAATCACAGCCTGTGGCCAGGCAGGCTCTTGGTGCCAGGCAGGTTCTGAAACCATCCAGTCACGGCCTGCCATCACTCAGGCTCTGTTGTCATGTGGTTTCCTCTGTTGTCATGTGGTTTCAGAAGCCATCCAATCACGGCCTGGTGCCAGGCAATTTCTGTGGTCAGCGGCCATCTTGGCATGACCTTTTCTCCTCGGCGGCCATCTTGGCATGACCTTTTTCCCTCAGTGGCTATCTTGACAGGACCTCTTCACCTTAACGACCTTTTCACCTTACCCCTTGCCATAGTGCACAGGGAACCTGTCAGCCTGCGACCAGACACTCCCCCTTAGCTCTCATGCCTGGACATTGTGGTCCAGGATCCTTTCCGTCTGTGGCCAAACCTGGGAACCTTTCCATCTGCGGCAGGAATCTCACGTCCTTGGCTCACCTGCCTGCCCCTGAGGGGACCAGGAACCTGTCGGTCAGCAGCCAGAGCCCACCCCCTTAGTCTCCACTGAGTGGCCCTGACGGGACCGGGAACCTGTCGGCCTGCTGACAGAACCCCACGTCATTGGCTCCGCTGACTGCCCCTGACAGCATGGGAACCTGTCAGTGTGTGACCGGAAACCAACCGCCTTAGCTCCTCTGCCTGCCCCTGATGGAGGTGGAATCCGTCACTCTGCGGCCAGAACCCCACATGCTTGGTTCCACTGACTTCCCCCTAATGGACCCAGAACCTCTCAGCCTCTGGCCAGACCCCACCTCCTTGGCTCCCCTTCCTGCCCCTGATGGGACCGGGAAATCTGTCAGTCTGCCGCCAAAACCCCACCCCTTAGCTCCCCTGCCTGGCCGTTCTGGACCGGGAACCTGTCAGTCTGCCACCAGAACCCCACCTCCATGGCTTCCCTGACTGCCACTGACAGAACTGAAACCCTGTCAGCCTGCGTCCAGAACCCCGCCTCCTTAGCTCCCCTGCCTTTCCCTGATGGGACCAGGAACCTCTCAGTCTCTGAGCAGAACCCCACTCCATCTGCTCCCCTTCCTGGACATCCTGCACCGGGACCTGTCAGTCTGACTCCAGAACCCAAACTCCTTAGGCTCCCCTGCCTGCCCCTAACAGCACCGGGTCATGTCAGTCTGCGACCAGAGGCTCACCTGTCTGCCCCTGACTCGACCTGGAACCTGTCAGTCTGCGGCAGGAATCCCATGTCCTTAGCTCCCCTGCCTGCCCCTGACTGGACCAGGAACCTGTCAGTCTGCAGCCAAAGCCCCACCCAGCTTGGCTCCACTGAGTGCTCTTGACAGGACCGGGAACGTGTCAGTCTGTGGCCAGAACCCCACGTCCATAGCAGACCGCCTGCCTTTGATAGACCTGGAACCTGCAGTCTGCAGAAAGAACCCCACCACCCTGCCTCCCTGTCCTACTCCACACGGACATGGAACCTGAAAGTCTGCCGTCAGAACCCCACATCCTTAGCTCCTTTGGCTGCCCCTGATGGGACCAGGAGCCTGTCAGTCTGCATGCAGACTTCATGTCCTTAGCTCCCCTTATTGCCCCTGACTGGACCAGGAACCTGTCAGTGTGCAGCCAAACCCCACATCCTTAGCTCCACTGCCTACCCCTGTTGGAAATGGAACCCATGAGTCTGTGGCCAGAACCCCACCCACTTTGGCTCCCCTGCCTGCCCTTGACGGACTGGGAACCTGTCAGTTGCGGCCAGAACCCCATGTCCTTAGCTGCCCTTACTGCCCCTGACTGGACCGGGAACCTGTCAGTGTGCAGCCAGAACCCCACATCCTTAGCTCCACTGCCTGCCTCTGTTGGACCCAGTACCTGTAAGTCTGCGGCTAGAACCCCAGCTCCTGGGCTCATTTCCCGCCCCAGATGGACCCGGAATGTGTCAGTCTGCCACTAGAACCCTAACTTCTTTGCTCCCCTGACTTGCCCCTAACTGGAGCAGGAACCTGTCAGTCTGCAGCCAGAACCCCACCCTCTAGTCTCTGCTGAGTGCCCCTGACAGGACCGGGCACCAGTCAGTCTGCGGCCAAAACTCCACCCCCTTAGCTCCCTTGCCTGACCATACCGGACCAGGAATCTGTCAGTCTGTGGCCAGAACCACACGTAGCTAACTCCCCTTCCTGGCATCACTGGACCGAAACGTGTCACTCTGAGGCCAGAACCACCCTCCTTGGCTCCCCTGACTGCCACTGATGGGACCGGGAACCCGTCAGTCTGCAGCCAGAACCCCAACCCTTGAGGCTCCAGTGAGTCCCCCTGATGGGACTGGGATCCTTTCAGTCTGCGGACAGAACTCCACCCCTTAGCTCCCAGGCCTGCCCCTGACTAGACCAGGAACCTGTCAGTCTGTGGCCAGAACCCCACCTCCTTGGCTCCCCTGACTGTCCCTGACTGGACCGGGAACCTGTCAATCTGTGGCCAGAACCCCACCTCCTTGGCTCCTCTGACTGTCCCTGACTGGACCAGGAACCTGTCAGTCTGTGGCCAGAACTCCACCCCTTAGCTCCCAGGCCTGCCCCTGACTGGACCTGGAATCTGTCAGTCAGTCTGCGGAAGGAACCCCACCCATGTCCTTAGCTCCCTGCCTACTCCTGATGGGACCAGAGACCTGTCGTCATTCTGTGGCCAGAACCCCACCTCCGTAGGCTACGCTGCCCGCCCCTGACTGGACCAGGAACTTGTGAGTCTGCAGCCAGAACCCCACCCCATCAGCACCCCTACCTACCCTTGATGGACCCGCAACTGTCACCTGTGGCCAGAACCCCGCCTCCTTAGGCTCCCCTGCCTACCTGTGACGGGACTCGGAACCTGTCAGTCTCGACCAGAGCCTAACCTGCGTGGCTCCCCTGACTTTCCCTGAGGGGGCCAGGAACCTGTCACTCTGTAGCCAGAACCCCACCTCATTGGGCTCCCCTGACAGCAACGGGAACCTGTCAGCCTGTGGCCAGATCCCCATGTCCTCAGCTCCCCTGCCTGCCCCTGATAGACCTGAACCTGTCAGTCTGTGGCCAGAACCAACCTCCTTGGCTCCCCTGACTGCCCGCGATGGGACCAGGAACCTGTCATGCTGCTGCCAGAACCTTAGCCAGAACGCCTTAGCTTCCCTGCCTGGCCATATGGACCGGGAACCTGTCCATGTGCGGCCAGAACCCCACATGCTTAGCTCCCCGGCTTGTCCCTGACTAGACAGGGAACTTGTATGTCTGTGGCAGGAACACCATCCTCTTACACCACCCTGCCTGCCCCTGACTGGAACCAGAGCCTGTCATTCTGCGGCCAGAACCCCACCTCCTTGGCTCCCCTGACTGCCTCTTTCTGGCCTGAGAACCGGACAGTCTAGGACTACAACCCCACCTCTTGGATCCCCTGCCGGCCCTTGATGGAACTGGGAACCTGTCAGCCTGGGGCCAGAACCCCACCTCCTTGTCTCCCCTGCCTGCCGCTGATGGGACTGGTAGCTTGCCAGTCTAGGGCCAGAAACGCCGTCTTTGGCTCCCCTGCCTGCCCCTGACAGGACCGGGAACCTGTCAG